GATTGAAGATATTAATATATGGGGACGATAATGGGGAAAAGAAAACTAATAAGTTTTCCACAATTTGTAATACCCTACAATATTGTACTTTACTATCTATTCAATAATAATATTTTTTATTTGTCATTTACTTTTTATTATATATATATATTAATGTATTTATTAAAACATTTTAATAAATATGTTCCGTGCATCGCACGGGTGAAGATACTAGTATATATACAATTCAGTAGTTATGATAAGGAATGATATTAAAATACAATTAATACATGTAACATGACCATAAATAATCAACATATTTATGGTAATCCCAACCTAATTATTTTTGGTTTGGAATTAAATTAAAATTATCCAAGCCTAATAACGAAACATGTAATTTTGCCACATAGGATTCTGAAGCACACCAAAAGCAGCCACGTAGGCTCAGCGCATTCTGTATTAATATATAGGAGGGATATCGTGATTGTTTATAAGTAAAACTAGTGCATCCACCCGTTGGATAGGGACAAGAAAGAATGAACAAAGATATAAATATGCAAAAATAATATAAATATACAAGGACAAATTCCACTTAAATACTTAAATTCACTCTCAACTTACAAATCAGTCCCTAATTTTTTTTTTTTTTTACACTGCACGTCTTACCCTCTAAATCACTTTTTAATTAACTCTCTCCTACTAAAATAAATTAAAAAAAATGACATCACCCACTGTCAACCAGGTTTTCATTTATTTGATTATTTTTTTCTCAAATACATAAATTTATACTAGCCAAACTCGGACATGTACAACAGGTTAACCGACTGGTTAAATCAGACGGGGTAGTGTTGAGTAAAGATGACAATATGGCATACAAATTAAAAACGAGAAAAGTAAATAACACAAGATTTACGTGGTTCGGCAATGTGCATACGTCCACGGCGGCTGAGGGATCTTTATTATTCTCAATAGTCTCAAATACATCAATACACCATGTATTTATACTATAACCCTACAAGGTATTAATTTATACGTCCACTCCGCTCACTTCGCTCGGTCGCTCCGCTTCCCTCGCTACATTCGCTCCGTTACGCTCGCAGGCATCAGCCTGCCTCATTCCTTTGTCAATATATGAGCCATATCAACAAATCTCCACCTTGGCGAATATATCACCTCCTTAGGAGAACACAATAGCGAGCACCTCTGCGAGACACACCAAGCAGGCCGGGGGGTACAATGCAACTCTAGCATGCAAAAACATTCAACAAATCCAAGCACTGCTTGAATTTGTCAGAAGTAACAGTCTTAGTCAACATATCAGCAGCATTCTCTTCAGTATGAACTTTCTCCAACTGAATATCACCAGAAGCAATCCATTCCCTAATCTTGTGGAACCTCACATCAATATGCTTCGTCATAGCATGATATATCTGATTCTTAGCCAACTGAATGGCACTCTGACTATCACAATGTACTAGAACTCCACCTTGTTGAATACCCAACTCTCTAACCAATCCAGCAAGCCACACCGCTTCCTTTGCCGCTTCAGCCAAAGCAATATACTCAGCTTCAGTTGTAGATAGAGCAACTATAGGCTGAGTATCGACCTCCAACAAATAGGCCCTCCACCAAAAGTGAAGACATACCCAGTGGTAGATCTTCTATTATCCAAGTCCCCAGCATAATCAGAATCCACATATCCTACAACCAAAGGATCCAACCGCTGATCTCCAAATACAATACCATGTCCTGCACTACCTTTCAAATATCTGAAAATCCATTTGACTGCCTCCCAATGTTGTTTACCCGGCCTTGACATATACTTGCAAACTTGACCAACAGCATGAGCTAAATCAGGACGAGTACATACCATGGTATACATCAGACATACAACAGCACTGGCATAAGGTATCTCCACCATATCGTGAGTCTCCTTGTCCGACTTGGGGCACTGATCAACAGAAAGCTTGAAGTGGTTTGCTAATGGAGTGCTCACCGGTTTTGCTTAATTCATCCCAAACCTCTGTAGCACCTTCTCCACATAACCCTTCTGAGATAACCACAGCTTCTTTGATCCTCTATCCCTGTGAATCTCCATCCCAATAATCTTCTTCGCAGCCCCCAAATTCTTCATCTCAAATTCCTGACTCAAAAGGCTTTTCAGATCAATAATATCACGCATATTCTTGGCAGCAATAAGCATGTCATCAACATAAAGTAACAGAAAAATCATAAAACCATCACCAAGGCTCTTAGTGTAAACACATCAATCAAAATCACAACGCTTGTAGCCAATCTTCACTATATACGAATCAAACCGTATATTCCACTGTCGCGATGCTTGCTTCAAGCCATACAAGGATTTCTTCAACCTACAAAATAAATGCTTCTTCCCTGGTTAAACGAAGCCCTCTTGCTGCTGCATGTAAATAGGCTCTGCGAGATCACCATGCAAGAAAGCAGTCTTCACATCCATCTGCTCCAAATGCAAGTCCCAACTAGCCATCAATGCAAGTACAACCCTAATCTAAGTATGTCTAACCACAGGGGAAAATGTCTTATCATAGTCAATCCCCTTTTGCTGTGAGTATCCTTTAGCCACCAATCGAGCCTTGAACCTTTCCCCTCCTTTTTTCTGTTACCGATGACTTCCTTGTGTAAATCCACCTAC